CCCTTGTCTTAGTCAGCTGGAGTTGCCATAACAAAATACTATGGACTGGGTAACTTAAACTACAGACACTTATTTTCTCTTTGTTCTGGCATTTGGGAAGCCCAAGATCAAGATGGCCACAGATTTGGTTCATGGTCAGACCCCACTTGCTAGATTGCAGATAGCCACCATCTTGCTGTATCCTCACAGGGTGGAGAGAAAGAGCTCTGATGTCTCTTCCTCACTTGTAATGGAATGGTCTCTATTGGATTAGAGACCCACCCTTATGAATTCATTTAACCATTATCACCTCCTCGGAGGCTCTATCTCCATCTATAGTCACATTAGGGATTAGCAATTCAACATATAAATTTGGGGGGAGGGACAGAAACATCCAACTCATAATAGCCCCTCTGTAACTTCTACCTACCATTGGGATAGTCAGGTTGTCGTTCCAGTTGGGGGCTGCCCAGGTAGAACAGAAAGCATGGGGGGATTTGCCAAAGGCCAGTGGGAAACCTGCCTGATTTTGTTAAATGTCCTTGCTGAAGGGTGTCCCAGATGGACAGAAGTGAAGCCCATATGCATGGCCACTGTCAAAGGTTCTTAGATTCCTGTTTTAACTCTAGCAGGCAAACACGACAGTGCCTGGCATGTACCTACACAGTCACAGTGAGGTGTTGGGGACATGCTCATAAAAGTCAGCAGAATACAATTCTGTCATCAAAATGGCCTGCTACAAACCCAAAAACTCAGGGAGCATGAGAGCATCAAAAAGATGCTAAATAGTCTCCAAAAATGTTCCTCGAAGAGGCAGAGCTTCAGTTCACCCATAAGGTCAAACGGCCCCCTCTGGGATTGTTCTGGGTACCATGGATACCTTAGAGACACAGGGCCCATATTCTCCAATCCAGAACTCATGTTCTGCTGGGATGTAGCCAGGACAAGGACAGGAGCCTGGGGCACACGATGTCACAGTTCTGATTTGAGTTCATTGACAGCATTTTAAAAATGGAAGATTCCCCCACACACCGAATTCTGCTAGATTTTGTGTTTGGCTTAGAATATCTTTGCCTCTAAAGTTCTTTTCCATACCAATGTTAGTGTTTGCTGTGTTTCCTCTGTGAACGCCCAGCACTGGGCCAAGTGTTTTTCATGGGTGCCTGGTAAAGTGGAACCTTGCCCCTTTGCCAGTCCCTTCAAGATCCTCGGAACAGTATTTTTGCTTGTTTGGGGGGGGTTGTTTTGGTTATTTTTATCATGAGAGAGTCCTGGGCCTCACCCCTCACAGTTCTGGGAAAATGAGGAAGCCTGACAAAAGCTGTGTCTCTTCAAAGCTCTTGATGCACAGAGTTGAGCTGGACTGGGCTGGGCTCCAGGCCCCAAGAGGGAAGCTCAGAGATGCCAGGGACAAGCTGCTCAAGGGTTGGGGAGCCTGGGAACCTGGCAGGGGCAGACTGGGGAGCGTTCCTGACCCTGTCAAACCCAGGCTGGAAGAACCAGACATGAACGTGAGGCAAAGGGCGGGGCAACCAAAGTCACATGTTTCCAAACAATCTCTTTTAACAGCAGAAGCATATTGGCTATTTCTTGGTGTTTGACATTTTCTCTAGTGAAGAGAGGCCAGGGGGCCCAGGGGGAAGACTGCACACAGGGTCTGGGTTTGAGTTACAGCTCAGTCCCTCTGTGGCGATGTGATTCTGGGCAATTCAAGAGCCTCCATCAGGGTTCCCCAGCCAGAAAGGGCCAATCCAAGAAGCAGATGTTCAAAGCCAGTGCTCTTAACCATGATACCACACTGCTCAGCAGCGATGCCAGGAAATAGTGTTATCTAAGTCTTCTCAGTGATGCTTTGTGCTTCTGTGGTGCTGGAGAAGACCCTTGAGACTCCCTCCAACAGCAAGGAGATGTCAATCCTAAAGGAAATCAACCCTGAATATTCACTGGAAGGATTGATGCTTTTGAACTTTGGTGTTAGAGAAGACTCTTGAGAGTCCCTTGACTGCAAGGAAATCAAATCAGTCAATCCTGAAGGAAGTGAGTCCTGAATATTCATTGGAAGGACTGATGTTGAAGCTGAAGCTCCAATAGTGTGACCACCTGATGTGAAGAACTGACTCATTTGAAAAGACCCTGATGCTGGGAAAGACTGAAGGCAGGAGAAGAAGGGGATGATAAGAGGATGAGACAGTTGGATAGCATCACCAACTCAATGGACATGAGTTTGAGTAAGCTCCGGGAGCTGGTGAAGGACGGGGAAGCCTGGCATGCTACAGTCCATGGGGTCACAGAGTTGGACATGACAGAGCAACTGAACAACGACAGTCTTCTTAGTTATAATAATAACAATCCCCAACATAGGAACACTCCACATTGTCCAGTATCCAAGGACACCCATGAAGTCTATGTATTTTCTACTTCTCTACACAACTATTTCACATTTTCACCTCCCTCCACCCAAAGGTAGAAACAATCAGACCATAACTGGCACATACCTACCACGGACTCACACCTGTACCTGCTCACCCTGCCTCTCCTGGTGTTACTACAGAGACCCGTCCCCATGCCCCTCCCCAGAATCCTGGATCCCAGTCACATCACCTTCAAAAGAGCTTTGCTCCTGCAGTTATCCCAGTTATCTTCTTTCACTGCTACGTACTCAATCCCTCCCTCCTCTGGATGGTTCTCCCTCTATCCCTCTCCTTATCTCCCTCAAGCTAACCGCCTCACTTCTCTGCTTCCACTCACAGCATAAATTCTTCAAAGACTCTGCTCTACAGCCTACTGTCATGTTTTCATCCCCACTGTCTCACCAGGTCACTCTAATCAGGTTCCCAGCACCATCACGCCAGCACAACAGTTCTTATCAAAGTCACCAGCTGAGGTTCTGCAGATGAGAAAATCGGCAGATCCTGCGTGGACCCTGCACTCTCCCGGCATGAAGATGTCAGGGGGTTTCCTCGGGTACCTCGTTCAGGCTTCCCAAGATTTGAGGAGAGGGTCCAGGGTCTGTTGTCCTTCAGACAGATCCCCGGATGGCTAAGAACTCCTCCTATGGGAATCAAGAGCTCAGGCTCCGGTAGCAATGACACCTAAGAGGACTTGGGGGGAAAAGCAAGGTTTGCCCACGTCAGGAAGGGGACAGCTGGTCCCCTGCTGCTGGTGGGAGGCCACCACTTGCCAGGGCCGGCCAGAAGCTGGCCTCTGCTGCAGCCCACATGACTCTCCTGTCCCTCTTCTCTGCTGCTGCCGTTGCCCACCCCCTCTGGCAGCCATACCACTGCCAGGTGTCCTTGAAGGGACAGCAGTGGGTAGACCTCCACAAAGGGCTAGCCTTCCCCACTAAATCCACCACCAGTGCCCATCAGCTCACTTTCCACCCTCCATGGGGACTTGTTAAATCACACATGCCCTGTGAACTTGGGCAGGCTCCTCTCCCTCCCCAGGCATCAATTTCCTCACCAAGACGAAGGGGTTCAGTCAAAGCCTCAAGTTCTTTCTAGCACCAACAGTCAGCTCGGCAGAGTGATTCTTATTCTGGGGCCACAGAGCCAGACGGCCTGGGTTTGAATCTGACCACTGCCACTTCCTAACTACATTATCACAAAGTTACTTCCCTTCTCTAAGCCTCAGTCTGCTCGTTAGTAAAATGAGCATCATTATGAGACCTGCCCTGGAGAACGTTTGCAAAGATCCAGTGAGACTCTTCCCACAGAGCAAGCAGCTAGCCCAGTTCTCCAGGAGTGTGAGCAACTTGCCTCTTGTTATCTATCACACACTACTGATTGTCCTCAAATGCACCTGCCACCACTGGGATCGTGGGAAAATGCTGACAAACTTCCAACCTACAAGTGCTCTGCAGGAGGGGCCACCTGCCTCTGTAAATCCTTTGGGAAGGATCCAATCAAAATAGACTTCCTTCCTCATGGTGGCAGGACCTGGGGACTGGGGAGCCCACCGTGCACAGCTCCCCTGAGGTCTGGGGGAGGCGACTGGAAAAAGAGGTCTGTTTTCTCAGCATCTGGGTGCTTGGCTGGATTCTGCGTTCCCAGGGAGGCTGTTTCTTGATCCAGAATTGATTATTCTAATCAAGGCACTCCAGTGCTCAAACTGTTAGACAGAAATAGTGTAGAGCGGTGTAACAGTGTGACTGAAAGGAATTAAATCAGAGCGTGCTTTCCTGAGAGGTGTCTCAAATAAATGTGCAAGGTTCACATGCAGCAAAGGCAATCATGGAAACCTTAGGCTCTGATGGACACAGACTGGGAGAATGAGGAGGCACGTTTTCAGGGAAAGGCTTCACGTGCTCCTCCCCCACCTGGCAGTTGTTCTTCAAGATGCAATCTGGAAGCTTCCAACAAACCCAGAAGCCTTGACCAGAATGACGTTGCTCTCAGTCTAGGGAAAGGCAGAGATGGGTGGGGCGATGAGATGCAGGAAAGGTGTCACTAGGAATGCTCGGGGGAGAAGACCAATGGGAATCCTCTCTGCATGGAGGCTCCCAGGCTTCCCTTCCTGAAGAAGCACTGGGATATCAACATTAGGACTCTAGAAAAAAAGGGGTAGTTGAAAGCTACCCTGGACTTGGCCTGGGGTGGGGGTGGGATGGGAAAAGGGAGACCAAGGCATGTGAAGCAGCAGTGGGTGGCCCTGAACAAAGGCACGTTTGGAGTGTGGTCCTAGGGTGGACACTCAAGCTCCTCCAGTGGACACCCAGGGTGTGCAGGTCCTGCTCTTCAGTTGTTAGGGAGACTCAGTGACAAAATTTGAGAAGCAGCAGCATACTGGCATAAAAGGTGGCATTTTGGCATCAGATGAACTTGAGTTTCCACTTCACTTCTGTTATGGGTTGCATTGCATATCTCCCTCCCCTCTAAGTCCATATGTTAAAGTCCTAGCCCCCAGGACCTCAGAACGTGAACTTACTTGGAAATAGGGTCGCTGTAGATGTAATTAAATAAGATGATGTCCCCATGGAGTAGGTGGGTGCCTCACCCAATACAACTGGGGCCCTTAAAAGAATGGCAAACATGGACACAGAGAAGCACAGAGGGAGAAGATGGCCAAGTGAAGATGAAGGCAGAGATCGGGGTGATGCTTCTACAAGACCAGGAACATCAAAGATGGCCAGCAAAATTCCGAATGCTGGGAGAGAGGCCTGGAACGCATTCTCCCTCTCAGCCCATGGAAGGAACCAACCCTGCCCACACCATGATTTCCGTCTTCCAGTCTCCAGAACTGAGAGACAACCCATTTCTGTTGTTTACAGTTTGTGGGGCTTTGTTATGATAGCCCCAGAAAACAAATACAACCCTCCTCCATGGCTAGACTTCACCCTTGAGAAGATCATGGGGGGCGGTGCTTGAGCAGGTGATATTAATACTCAGGAATGATGACACCTGCATGAGGACAGGTGGACATAAGGTCCTGACAGAGTCAGTGTGGCCAAGTGAGCAGAGGGGGGCCATCAGGCTGAGTCAGTCTTGCTTGAGGTCATGTAGAGTCCAGATCAGGGAAGGCTGACCCAGAAGCTGGGGTGGCCAGGGAGGAGGGAGTAAGGGTGCTTCCAAGGGTGGGGGCAGCCCATCAGTAATCAGTGTCCAAACTAGAACCTTCCCAGGCCCTCAAGCCCTGGCCCCGCTCCTTCTTCAAAACTCCAGAGGCCCGAGAACTTTGCTTAGAGCTGGGAGGAAGATGGCAGAGAATCGTGGGGGTAAAAGCTCAGCCTGGTGCCTGGCACCGCAAACACCCCAGAAGCATACAGGCACATGCACACCCCTCACCAGACAACAAGCAGGCACTTCCGGTGGGGGTGCCCAGGGCAGGGGTGGGGCTGAGGGGGTGGGGGGAGGTGGTTGGGTTCCTGGCCCCAGGGGAGTTGGCGCAGGGCCCCCTGTCTTTCCTTAGTTTCTCGTCCTGGCCCATCTCAAAGGTAGGCATCGCTCCCAAGTATTGGAATTGCCTGCTCGCTGCCCTTCCCTGTCTTTGTGCCACCAGCGGGCCAATTCCCCCCATTCCGAGTGTAAAAGCGGAGTGTGCCAGTACCGTCCTTGGTCTTCCCCTCATCCCTCTTGACGTAGGTGTTCCCTCACCCCTCCTGTCCATCTCATTGTCATCAGGGGAGGGTAGCAGGCACCATGCAGTCCCGAGGCAGTCCTGTGTGACTCCGTGATCAGCTTTTTGTTACTTGTTTTTCGAACTGTCCTTCCAAACTAGCAAGTGTTTGGAAATTAGGGGGAAAATTAAATTCTCACCAACAGTTTCTGTTACAGTTGAATCAATAAAGATTTTAAGTATATAAAAAAAGAAGGAATTGCCTGCTCAATTATATATATGTGTGTGTGTGTGTATGTGTGTGTATAAAACTAAATCATTTTGCTGTATACCTGAGACTAACACAACAACATTGTAAATCAACTATACTCCATTAAAAAATAAAAATTAAAGTAAAAATATAATTCCTACTGGAGGTCTGAGCGATTTGATCAATGGGGAGGTCAAGCTATGGGAAGAAGGAACATGGAAATTCAAGCCCCGCCTCCAGCATGCCAGTGCCCCTCGTGTTTTTCAGCTGTGTCCCTCTAACAACTGAACAGAATGAGATGCAGCCCTGGAGGATGATCTGGGGGCATAGCCCAAAGCTGCCATTTTGATACCTAATATGTTATAGCTCAAAAATCCAGATGATTGGAGAAGTAGTGGGAAGGAGGTCCAAGAGGGAGGGGATATATGTATACATATGGCTGATTCACTTCCTTGTACTGCAGAAACTAACACAACATTATAAAGCAATTATACTCCACTAAAATTAAAAAAAAAAACTATTGTAAACCTACAACAAAAAATCCGTATGGAGTTTGCATTCAAAAGCATACTACATCCATGTCTGTTTAAATAGAAAAAACTAATCTTTATATTACTGACTAATTACATTAACTATTTCCCCCCAGTTTTGGAGTAAAATTTACCCTCCAGGAAGATAGGTCATAGTTTGTAGGGATCAAAGCTGGAGAAAGCTGGTGTGGCTCCAGGCTGTCTTTTGGTACTGACAAGCACTCAGGACTTCCCCCTTCCCCTGGAGCATGAAACACCTCCTCACACACTGCCCTCAGGCTGCAGCCCGGGGTGGGGGAGTCCTGGCTCTCCCCAGATCTTCTGGCCTTGCTCACTCCCACTCCTAGCTCTGGCACCTGTTCCTCCTGGCGGCCCCATGCTGTCCCTGGCGGAGGGGGGGGTGCTCCCAACCCCTGTGGAGGCTCAAGACCTTGCATACCTCAGCCAGGCAGCAACCCAAGGCCCCTACACGCCCTCGGGCCTGGCCGTGGGCCCTGCCTCCCACCACTTGAGTGGCCAGGGCTTTGCTTGAGTGGTCAGAGGCATTTGGTGGGATCTGTAAGGGCCTGGCCGTGGGCCCTGCCTCCCACCACTTGAGTGGCCAGGGCTTTGCTTGAGTGGTCAGAGGCATTTGGTGGGATCTGTATGGCTGTCTCTCCTTCCCTTGAAGACAGTGCAATGCTCACTCATTCATGCTTGGGATCATGTACTGTATGCTAAGTCCTTGGCCTGGAGCTAGGTATAAATGACAATAGGAAGTGATCACAGGGTCATGGTGGGAAAAGGTGTGATAGTACAGGATGGTGCACTTCCCTGGTAGCTCAGCTGGTAAAGAATCTGCCAGACATGCAGGAGACCCCAGTTAAATTCCTGGTTTGGGAAGATCCGATGGAGAAGGGATAGGCTACCCACTCCAGTATTCTTGGGCTTCCCTGGTGGCTCAGATGGTAAAGAATCTGCCTGCAATGCAGGAGACCTGGGTTCGATCCCTGGGTTGGGAAAACCCCCTGGAGAAGGGGACGGCTACCCACTCCAGTATTTTTGCCTGGAGAATTCCATGGACAGAGGAGCTTGGCAGGCTCCAGTCCATGGGGTTGCAAAGAGTCAGACATGACTGAGCAAATTTCACTACAGGATGGTAGGTTGTCTAGGCCAAGGCAAGCTCAGGGAGTTGTGAAAGCACAAGGGAGAAGGCCATGCTTGGCTAGGGTGGGGGTACAGGGGGATGGCTCATTCCTGGAGGGAGTGATGTATACGAAGAGACAGGAAAGACCTAAAAGAATCTGCTTAAGGAAGAGTGTTCCAGGAGAAGCCAATGACATATGCTGCCAGTGTGATGACCTTGCGATAATCAGAGAACCAACAACCCCTTTCAGCTAAGACTCTTCAAGCACCTCCATGTGTGCTATGCACCTCAGGCTGGCGGGCCTAGCTGACATCCTAGGATTAGTATCTGTGAGCACACAAGAAGTTTGTGTGTGTACCTGGCATCTCAGCATGCCACAGTAGGGTCCCATTGGCCCAGGTTCAGGGATCTGTGGGGAGAAGAGATGGTGTCCCACTGGAGGGGCATGCCCTAACTCACCACACCTATGCCTGCGGCAGGGAAAAGGGCCTGCTCTGGACTGTATGTTTGTGTCCTTCCATAATTTGTATATTGAAGCCCTTCCCTCCAATGTGATTGTGTTTGGAGGTAAAGCCTTTGGAAAGTAATGAAGAGTAGACGACGTTATCAAGGTGGAACCTCATGAACGGGACCCTTATAAGAGTCATGCAGGGCTTCCCTGGTGGCTCAGCAGTAAGGAATCTGCCTGCCAATGCAAGGGACCTGGGTTCCATCCATGGGTCAGGAAGACGCCCTGGAGGAGGAAATGGCAACCCACTCTAGTATTGTGCCTGGCAAATCCCATGGAGAGAGGAGTCTGGCCAAGGTAGGGGTCAAGAGGCTAACTTAGCATCATTTGCCTTCTCCCAGCAGCATTAGGACACACCCCAGAGCCTCCCCTGCAGCAAGCAGAGGGGCCATGGTGAGAGGTAAATGGACCCATGGCACCGGTGGGAGGTGGGAGAAGGAGGCTCTCCTAGTCCAGCTCTCCCGACACTGAATGATCCTAAGTGCGCCATGAAGGTCTCCATGCCCAGCTCAATGCCTCTATGATAGTAGGTGCCCGACAGAGATGTACCCAACGAGTAAGAGGATGGGTGGATGCAGAGCTGGGGAGGGAACACAGGCGATACGAAGCAGGCTGGGCGAGGGTAGGGGGACCTACAGGAAAAGTGGGCTTTCACTCTGAAGGGGTCCTCAGAATGCAGGGAGCAGTGCCAGGCAGCCTCCCCGAGCACACCAAGCTTGCAATGCTCACAAAAATCCCTGGAGGCAAAGGCTCTCCCTGTTCTCCCCTTCCCATTTAGTTACAGATGGTCCATCAGAGGCTTAGGAAGCCAAGGCCATTTTCTCAGGGCACCAAATGACTAACTGGCAGAGATAAGATTCGAGCACAGGCTGAGAGCCTCAGGGTCCATGGAGCACAAGATGGGGAGCTGAGAAGGCAGGGCTCCTGTCCCCAACTCCCAGCTACAGCAAATCCACTGTCATTCATTTTTCTACAGGGACACACCTAAGATTTCCCTGGAAGGAGGGCCCCGCAGCTTCGGCACTGCGCTGAACCCTGACTTGGGCCTCAGAGTTGCCACCCCTCAGGCAGCAGCCCCTTTGTCTGCAACCCCAACCCACCACCCGGGAATCCGGGTGATGACTCTTACATCACTACACATCTGGGAAGAGATGCAGGGCCTGGCACAGGCCCGTTTAACATGACCCTGGAGTATTATTCATAACCAGAGGGCGCCAGTGCATGTCAAATCCAGAGGGTGATACAAGGACAGGCTGGAGAAGGAGGGATGAGGTCAGTGGCCAGGAAAGGCCAGTCTGAGGGAGCGGGGAGTGGGTCAGACCTGGTGCGGGCCCAGCTACTTAAAGGAGCCACACCAACCCGACCTCTGGTCACCCAGGGCTCCCTGTGGCTGCAGCTCAGGACTTCCAGATGGAAGGATAGTGCTGGGGACTTTAAGCTGCTGCAAACACTCACACACAGGCACATTCCACTTCAACTCTGGCCTCTGCACAAGCCCACTCCTTCCTAGCCCCAGCATTCTACCCACCCAGCCACTCACTTATCCTCTCCTTCATTCAGCAAATGATACAAAGCAGCTCTTCTGGGGCAGTCCTGAGGGCCCCAGAGCATTGGAGAAAGCCGCCACCCCTGGGTCTCATCTTCCCAGAGAGAAGGTGAGAAAAAAACCTCCATGAACAGACAGTGGCAGCAGTGCTGTGATACGGTAGCCCAGTGGCTGGGGGAGCCCTGAGAAGAGAAGGCCTGACTCAGCCCGGGGCTGGGTAGGGGCCTGGCCACATCCGCAGTTGGGAAGTTCAGGTGAAAAGCGGGAACCTAGATTTAAGCCAAATGGCACATGGCATTTCCTTCCAAAACAGTCACTGATTCAGGTGTGAGCCTGTGAACTAAGCAGGCCC